CACCAAGTACTCATTGTCAACGGAGTTCCCATTCTCATTCTGAGAATATCTGCAAGCCTAGGAAATAAGATGTGTTCCATTGCAGTTTATATCTAGATTTTTTCCCTAAAGATTAGGAGATGAAGCATTTCTGCAATAAAATTAATCTTTTTATATACATTCTATTGCATGTGCTATTTTTTCTTATCAGAGGAATTAACCTCTAGTAGCAAAAAAGTACCATAAACTGTAAAAATTATAGAGGGCACTAAAAACATAGTAATAAAAAGGACATAAATCAATTTAAAAATAACAATAGGTTTTCTAGTTGAGCTGTTTATTACCATTCATATTAAAATTTTATGGGAGGATAAAAATGTCAGTTATTTCTGTGCATCCGACCATCAAATTGCAAACTTGCCCATTAGTTAGAGTAATGAAGTTCAAAGTAAACACTCACGTCTGAATGACCAAACCACCTAAAATTTCAAAATACTTGAAATTAATGATATAGAAAACAATATATTTCAAACAAGTGTATACAAAGTTAATATATGTCAATGTGAGTAGGCTAAGAATGATCAACTATTAGATTATAAATTGTTATCTTAAATAAGAAATCTCTATTAGTATCATTTATAACAAGTCTTCCACAGAAATACACTTGATTCAGAGTAATTCAATCTCTTGAATAACAAATATAACAGTGTCTGAAAAGTTGTATAAAATAATTGCTAGTAAAAATTGCCAATGACAAAAAAACCCCAATAAAACAGCAATAAGTTAAGGTGCTAGGTCAGTTCTTCATACAGCTCAGTGTGGGTAAGAAGGCGTACTTACTTTAACAGTACAAATTATTGTTTCTACAGAAGTAGGAACCTTTAAGACCAAATACTTAATTTTGTATATTCAGTTGAAGTTTGCTATGTTATCTTTTGATGCACAGGATCTCTTGTAAAATTTTGTTTTGGTCTAAAGTGTTGCAGTTTTAGCTGTCTTGAGTTTTTATTTGAGTCTGGGAATTTAAAAGCCTCGAAAAATTTGAAATACGTAAGGCTGGTTTTCACATCAAGCTACAGAAGGGGGGAGTTTCACATGGTTTCAACATGAAGCCATAAATCAGAACTGTTTTTCCTAAGCCTGATACCAAGGCAGCCATAAGAATCTGAAACCTGTGATGTGATTCATACCATATCCGCTTCTTTTTGAAACTAGCTAAGTTTTCAGTTATCTTCCATTTATCATACACTTTCTGTAAGCCTAACACTTTGCCTCTGGCCTTACTATTGCTAAAACGCCCTGTTGTTGCAGACCTCCAGTTTCTAATGACTCACCCCCTGAGATGTCTTTCCATTGAATGATGACACTGTTGCTGAGTTTTTATTCTTTGCTTCATGCCATACTTAATGATATATAGTTCCTACCTCAAAATGCAAATTCTTTTATGGGAGTAAGATAAGTGATCACCAGCTCAGACTAAGTAATTCCTCTGTGACCTTCAGCAAGAGACTTCAGTTCTATATAGCTAACATCCTTATCTGCAACATGTGAATGGCACCACTTCGTTTATTGCCTAAAGAGAAAGCAACAATAAAGCTTTCTTCTTCTAGCACTATGATAATGCACGTCTGACAGGTGTTACGGTTCATGAGGAAAGAAATAAATGAGTACCACATAGGCCTAAGCAATTACTCTGTACAAGTCCAAGACTTTGAATGTTTTGTACCTAGACAGAAGTGTTCAGCCTTTGAATACTTGTGTAGATGTTTGGGAGTTTGCTGGTTATTACTTTAAGAAAACCAAACAAAACATTTATTTTTCTGTTCATTACTGAACCTGCCACGTAGAGAGAGAATTTTTGAGTCCATTGCATTCAATTCGCTTGGTGGAGGCAATAACGATCTGAATCCCCAAAGTCTGTGGAGAGCTGTCAGTATGTCCTTTAACATGTCTTCAGGAAAACTGCAAAATCCACAACCTGTCCATTTCCACCTCAGTGAGAAATTCCTCACTAATAGCACCATGAATGGGCTGCAGCCATCTGTATGGAATGCTTGTTTTCTGAGGTGTGGGCCTGAAGAATATACTTTGCTTAACAGTGCTGTCATGATTTAACATTGGCATTTTAGTTATCAGTATTTACAACCTTCAGAAAATTGGGTGTTGTTAAACACACAATAGGCACAAATATCATCCATGACTGTAAGCATGGAGAATAAGGGCTGCAGTGCCTAGTTTGTTTTCAATTTTTACTGTCGTTGCCAGTCTTGAGTATTAAAACTATAAAACATGTCTAACTGCCTCACTTTAAGGGTTGGATTCAGTTTTCTTTCTCTTGTAATCCTTCAGGATGAAACATAGGTTTAGATGGCACTCCTAAACCTCACCATACCTTCATGTTGTACTTTCAATGTACTCAATAGAGACATCTCTGGGTTTTACAATGTAGTTATAATATAAGCATGGCTTGGTCCTTACGTTTTTTTTTTAAAGAAAATCTGAAGGGGTATAATTATGTTAGATAATATTTCTATAATTTTTTATTCTGAGTAGCTGCCAAATTTAAACATAGCTTCAGAATATTATGCTTTACAGCAAGATTTTTGCACTATGCTAGCTAAAAGGATATGTATTTGCCTAATGGAATTAGTGGCTTAAAAAGCCTCATCTACACAGGTGACATCCTGGTGCAAACTATTAAGGTCTTTCCTTCTGCTCCCCACACTTTGGTTTCCAGGGGAAATAAAGTGAGGCCCATGCAGGCTCCCCATTGTCTCTCTGGTCCGATTCCTGATCTGGATAATTAGGAGCCTGAGACTCACCAAAGCACACAAACCACCTTGAGAAAAATACATGGTTATCTGAATTTGGATTCTGAACTTGCATGTGCTTTCAGATAAAAGAGAACTCCTTGAAGGACTCTAATTAACTGGCATGCTTATAAAGTGGCATTTAAGTTTAACTCTCTTAGTTTTTCTTTATAAATTTGGCTTCATTTGGGGGATTCAGTTTACATGAAACCCAGAAAAAGACAAGCTTGCCATTGTATTGCTCTGTTATTGCCATATAATGCCATCCACCATAGACAAAAAAGATGATGGTATGATGTTTCTCTGTTTGGGTGCAATGATATTCAATATGCTATTTGGAGAGCTGTGTGGTCGAAGTTAGAGAAACCAGAGCTCTTCTTCTGACCTTTCTCACGTCCTTTGTAGAATTGTGATTCTTAAATCTTTTTTATTTTTTTAGGTGCTCGAGTGGGAAAATGACTTCCGGGTCTGTAAGCTTTTCTTAAGAGAGATAAAGGGAAGTGGAATCTCTGGGATCAGGTTGCCAGTATATTGAAGAACAAGAAATCATTTAAAAGTTGACACACGTTGAGTCTTTTATTTAAATTCAGATGTGCTGTAAGTAAATTTTTACTGTCTTAAAATCAGGGAAATGGAACACTTTTATGTAAAGTTTCAGCGATGACTTTGCCATTATCTAAAGAGAAAACTTTATTTCAAGTATTTTCTCACCCCCTGCCATAACTGTAGAGGTGCTGCTGCCCAAAAAAGGGGACACCTGGGAGAAGGCTGGCAGCTACAGCAGCTCTTGCATGCTGCTCTGGGCTGCCTCTTTTTTTTTTCCTGGGTACTTCATAAATTCATCAGAGCTTGCGAGCAGAAAATGGCCTGCAGGTTGAAAGATGGCTGCAGTCATTAGATTAGATTTGACCTGCTTTGTATGAAAGGAAGCATAATGCAGGGTTCAGTAAAAAGGCAAGCAAATGGCTTTGCTTCTTACAAAACTTACAGAGTAATGATGCCCTGAGCATACTGAAGAGCCTGGAACATGCAGACTGGAAGATTTCTTTGAGGTTTTTATTGCTGGGCTCGTTCTGCCTCTGTCTAATCCATCTGCCTAGGCCTGATCTTGCCCATGACTGGTCTGCATCACAGAATCAGAAAAATGTCTCTGCCCTTAGGTTGATTTGGGAGAATCTTCATTGTGTAGCAGGTTTCCTTTCCCTCCTCTATCCCTTCAATATTTGAGTCAATAGGTGGAGAAGAGAAAATACCATTATGTTTGCTGTTTCACAGCTGGGTTTTTTTATGTTAGCTAATGGAGTTGAAAGGATGGAAGACAATAAACCATATCAAAAATAGGGTCCTGTCCCATGTACTGAGGCTCAAAGTGAAACAAGTATCAGAAAGCATTATCAGAAAAATGTAAAAAAGTTTCATACACTTGCAAATCAGTGAGAGTTAACCAGCACTAAAAGCTGCTTGCCTTAATTATGATGTCTTGAAAATATGCAGTAATTAGGCATGATAGTCTTGAGATGCACTTCTTTCCCAACATCAGGCTTATGATGAGCATTTCACTCACAGAGATACTTTCTTTCATTAAAAACGATTACTTGAGCACAGTTTTAATAATTTTTTGAGCAAAAATGTAAACAGGAGTTAAATGCCCAAGCCTTTATGTGCTTCAGAGGCTCATTTCTGCATCAGACTTGGGTAACCAAAAAAGCTAGAAAGGAATGTGAAATTTTGTTTTTTAACACAGTATAGACTTTTTCCAAGTATTAATATTCATTAAATGAAATTTAATGGAATACTAAATGAAATAAATGGAATACCAAATCTATTTAACAGTCCAATATTGTGGCTTCATGTACTCTTCTCTGGACTATGCTAAGCCATCCTAACAAATGGTGCAGAATTTCCTTTCCAAATTCTGGAACACAGACAATATTTAATTTATATTTCTTACCATTATTTTAAAGATTATTGTTAAAGCACATCATCTTCATGCTGCTGAATGACATAGTGTATGTCTCTACCTTGGGAAAAGACACAGGTCCAGATTAAAATCTGTCTTCTGTTTCCCTCCCCTCCTATCCTCCCTTTCTGTCACAGTGCACCCATATTATTGCATACATTTACCAGTGTTGATATTTTACTGTTTTTAATGGTTAACCATATTGGCAGCTCTTTGTACAGACGGCAACAGCAGAACCTGAGGGAGAGGAACCGCATAAATCCTCCCACGTCTCTTTGATATGGATGTTTCCCATAACTTCAGAGGAGAGAAACCTCCAGTCTGTTCATCATGAAGAAAGCACTTGAAACAGAGACCAATTTCTTCACTTCTGGCATTCACTAATGTTCAGATGATGGGACTTCATTGCTGTGCAAACCCAATAACATCGGTAAGTTTGTGGTTCAGGTAAGTGCAAAATGTCCTGAAATGATTTACTGATTAGAGGCACCTGAGCAGGTGGAACGTTTGTTGGCCGTGTAACAGGATGGCAGACTAGTTTCTCAACACTGTTATGATGTAGTTGAGACCTCATACCTGAAGTGATTGACACCAAGTCTCCTGAGCAATGCAGATGACACAGACCTTGTATGAGCAAGTAGAAATGGCTTGATGAGTTTTTTATCCCTAGTAGAAAATAGAAAGCAACAGACTATATCTGTTATATTACAAATATGCAATTTATAGATATAATGTGGGTTTTAGTGATTCTCTGACCAGTTTTTTAAATGTGCGTATTTGTTTGCTGTGGATGCTGAGGATATATAATGAGCATATATGGATCACTTTTTAAAAGTGCTTTTCATCTGTCCTTTACTGATGTATCCACTATTTTGCTCAGAATATTTCCTCACATTATCCTAAATACAGTGCTCCCTTTTTCTTTAGCAGGATATACAGGGAAAAAGCACATAGTGAAGAAAATTTATTAAATGTTGGTATGCTACTGAATAAAAATAATTCAGTAGGTATACAACACCAATCTTGTAATCATAGGCAAACAAAGAAGTGGTAAAAATTTAATTAAATCAGTTGTATTATTGTTATTCTTCAAACTCAAATGGAGCAGGGAAAGAGTAATATTGAAACTAAAATTACTAAACCACATATTAGCAGTTTTAAAGACATTTATATTTTAATGCAAGAAAATAAGATCAATACTAGTTTTAGGTTGAACAAAGTTCAAGGCTATAACATGAAATTTCCTGAATTAGATTCTCCCTGAATAAAGATATATCTGGTTGGAGAAGAGACATGAAAAAGAAATTACTTTGCTCTGTTGATGTGCTGAGGTATATACATAGAGGAGGCACCTGTAGCTGTTCTAGGAATGCTCTGACTTACGACAGACAATAGGTCTAGAAATACCAGAATATGGAAGATGATTCAACTGGGTTTTTGCTTCCTCAGTCTATTTCTGTGCTGGGCTTAGTTTGAGCACAGCTGAGACATAAACCCAGAGCATATCAGAGAGTGATATTTCTGATCACTCAGAACACATCGAGTCTATAAAATATTCATAAAATCTCTGCAATTTGAATTGGCCTTTCAAGTAATAAAAAAATACATCAAAGTAATACAATAAATGAGGAGGTCCCTCTACTACATGTGATATAAAGCATAAGGATTTCTTTTAAATATTTGATTATTGAAAAATAAATGAGCCTTTTTCTGATGCGACAATTCTGGGACTTCATACAGTATGAAACAGTAACAAGAAAGATACTGTGTTATTGTTAATGGCTGTATTTCTTACCATCTATACTAATGAGCTTCTTTGATCTTCTCTGATGTCTCATGCTTCACTGCTTCCATCATTGTCAAAAGCCCACTTCTTCACTTTGCTTGTGAAATAATCTATATAATGCAAAGTGACTGTTTATGGAGCACAGTAAGTATTCCACTTGCAAGGAAGAAAGGGCATCATTTGATAAAAGCAGATGTATTGTTAAGGCAGCCACAAAATTAGATAATTTCAGCAGAGAGCAGATTATTTTTTTCTGCCAGTCAGGATTCAAACAAAGGAACTGTCCCACATTTGGCAGACAATTATGCTTCTGCAAGGGAAAACATAACACTTAGTGAAAAGAGTTAAGGTCTCCTTTTTCTCAGATAATTTTGTTCTTTGAACATTTTCAATGGCCTCTTTCAGGAAAAAGCAAAAACATCTGAACAATTGTAACAATTTTGTTCCATGGATATAAGCAGTGTTCATGTCATCATTTTAGGAGTTCATTTTTTTATTTCTGTTTTCAGACTCCTGCATCACTAAGTTTTCCTTTTCATCTCCAGACAGGACACCTGCCACCTTCCATATTGTTGATGTACAAGTTTGAATAAATTTATTTGAAGCATTGACGTTGGCTATTAAAAGACAAGGCTCTAATCCCATAATGTTTTGTAAATTTGGAAGCCCTTCTTGATTTTAATAGTATTGAGTGTCTACCTCAACTCTACCGTTGTGGAGTTTTCACAGGATTTGGTATTAGACATATTTACATAAGGAACAAGAGAGAATGGTTTTAAAGAGCTTTAATTACAAACGTGTATGTATTTAGCACAGCGTGGCTGTATTTGAGTGGTTCTGTTACAATTAAAAGCTATGATTTGGAAAACAAATCCCTAGTCACAAGTAGGTGTAATTGGTACTGTAGGTTCTGGAAAAGAGAAGATCCTGCACATGAACCTGATTCTTACACCATTTGTGCCCAGACAATCTCCATTGGCCTCAGAGGATTTACATCAGCGGGAACGACAGGAGAACCAAAGCAGTAAGAAGGGTTGGGTCTGTCCTGCTTAAACACACTGTCCTGAAGGATGCAGTGTTCAGGAAAATAGTTTACAGCCTTTTCTGTCTCTAAACAGGCTGAATTTTCAAACTGGAAGCAAAGTTAAAGTGCAGCTGCCTTCTGCAACACACTGACCTGTCGACCCAAGGTCCCCAGGCCCTCCTCACCTGCGGGCAGTGACTGCAGTTGGTCTGGTTTGCAGCACATCAAAGCCCCCTCCTCTTGCCAGGAAGGTCTTTCAATCCAAGAGTCCAGCTGCTCTCCGTGCCGTTGTCAGTCAGACAGTGTTGGCTACCCCAGACCTTTGTTTGTCTGAAAATGAAAAAATAAAGCGAAGTTTGTCTTAGGAAACTATATACCAGTGTAGAGTGTTTAATTTCCAGCGGGAGAAGAAGGAGCCATGGATTGCTCACCCATTGCTCTGCAAAATATCTAACTAGAGAGAAGTTGACTTAATTCTGATATTCCTTTTTGAAACTAACCCTCCTTAAACAACAAAAAGAGGAAAACAAACCAAACAAGAACCAGTTTTATTCAAAGAAGCAGCATGAGAAATCAGCTCTTGCTGATCTGTCTGATCCCTAGAGGAAGGGAAACATATTTTCTCCTCTCATCATACACTCCCGGGAATACCTTGACCAATATCAGAGCTATATGCAATATGTAAAAGAGATTACATTTCATAAGATATATTTTAAATTATATGTTTCCACACACTTTTATAATATGAAATGCAATTTTATCTGATTTTAATACTTTCATGTTAATTTCCATTATTTGCACAGTAAGTAAACGAAGAGATGCAATCTGGATTTAATTACATAGGATATGCTTTCACTTACTGACTGACATAAGGAGAATACATTAAATACGAGCATTGTATAATACTTTTCTGTCCTCAGATGATGGACATCAACACAACAAAGTTACATTTAATGCTGGCTGCCAAAACCCAGCCATTTGAGTTTTCTTAAAAAATACGAAATTAAATCTTTGTAGAAAGTTGATGTGACATTGACAACATTTTCTCCTTTTTTTTTCCCACTAGGTCCATCCAGCTTTCAAAAACATTTGTTATTTCTTTCAAGACAATCCCTTTGGCCTTTGATTAATTCTACTTGTAACAACCAGAAGAAAACCCTACGCAATTGTCCCATCACTGAGACGTGGTGCTATTACTGTCAAATGAAGCTTTCTTTACCCCAGGTGTGGTGTTATTATACCGCATACAAGAGCACCCGACATAAGAACCAAGAAGAGAATGCATTTGCAGAAGGAAAGTTAGCAAGACTGGGCCTTGACTCGAGGAAGTGTCTGCCTCCAGGTATTTTGAAAACCTGCTACAGAATGAAATTGCTTTTTCACTAATGCAATGGTCTAAATGCCTATGTGATTCATCAATGTCCCTGATAATTCTCTGAGATATCTAGTTACAGCCCTGCTAATGCCATTTGTATTTCTCATTGCTTTGGGAGAAGGCAGATTTGCCAGAGCAGCTCTGCGGGAGCAGAGGAAGCAGAGGAAGAGTAGGAGGCCATCTGCCGGGATTGCCCGGGCGGAGCCAACTACTCACTCAGCCTTGTTCCTCCATGTAAAATCCCAGCACCAGGATGGCTTTGGACTCTAGCTGTAGCGTTGCTTTCAAAGCCCTTTCATTATGGCCAAATAACAGATGTTGCATAAGCCTTACTCTTTGCTGCTGTGTTATAGGTCCTGGTGACCAACAAAACTGAGGACAGTAATCAGTTATGGTTTCTCTGTTGTTCTCGGGCTGCTTTTCCTCTTTGAGGTACTTTTCTAGCCCTTTCATTACAGTGGCATCTGAGCACCTCATTGCCTTTAATATCTCAGCGGCTTCAAAGCTGTATCCAGAGTCACAGCTGCAGCAGGCAACCTCAGTCACTGCCACGGCACAAAAAGATCTTCCAAGGGGGTTAATGCAGATGCCGACAGTCCAAAGCTGAGCATGAGCTCATTCAGTCATCTTCTTGGGTCAGCTTTGCACCCTCTCCTCTGTCTGTAGTGCTGTGCTTGGACAGTGGTGAGTACTCAATACTGTTGTGGTACACGTGGCCCTTCAGTTCACCATAGCCACTTTTCTGATTACTTTGTCCAGGTGGAAGAAGTCTGGTTGCCCTATGGTGACCAGAAGCCCTGTGTCCACACTGTACTAGCTGTGATGGTGCTACAGGACATTTGGAAGACACGACAAGCATCCTGAGGCCTGAGATTTCTCCAGGACGAGAAAGAGGATGGCGACCAGCTCTGTGGTAACTCTACATGCTTCCATCTGTGTTTTCTTTTTTCTTTTTCTTGGTTGCTAATTCCCATTAGACAAACAGCTTTCTATACCATAGTTTGTTATACAAAATTCACATAGAAAATTGTTGGTCAATATTAAAAAGAAAAATCCATAGGAGAAGAGTCAGAATAAAATCACATCTATTCAATTCTTCTCAAGAAGTCTGATTTTTAGTGTCTCCTTCCACTTCCATGTGGCTTTTTGATTTTCCCTCATGGCAGACTCTAATGTTCAGGAAACCTTTATATCTTTATTCATACCTGCCTATGTACTTTCTCGACTTGTTATTTATGCTATCTATGACAATACCGCTTTCATCTTAAAATACTGCACTGAATTTGCCTGGATTTTATGTTAAAGGTTACGCTGACAAAGGCTGATAAAACACATGGAGCATTATTTGTATTTACTTATAAAGCTGCAGTATCCAGGACGACATTATCATTTCTATAAAGTATTATCCCGTAAAGATCATTTTGAAAGTGAGTGTGATATATCATTTTACTTTGACATGTAAATACATTTCAGCCTATCTATCTCAGTCTTTCCAGCACATCTATCACTACAGAAGCGTGGTGCTGCCAGTGAATCAAACGGTACAGTGGCAGTTAACAAGTGGTGTGCCTAATTAATGGCTTGAGTAGAAAGTTGTAAGAGTGATTTTTCCAGACACTTCACTCAAAAGTGATTGAGAAGGAAAAGCCTTTTTAAAATTTTTATGTAATGTCACACTAAATGAACCATAAAGAAACAATATAGAAAATACATAGCTTGGAATTTATGAGAACACTTTATAACTATTAAAGACCACATTTAAAGGGCTGGATTCTAAATGGAGCTGAGGGACCTTTGAAAACAGCTTTACCAGCAAGGTCAGCTTTAAAAATGGAGAGAAAGCAAGCCAGGTCCCAAACATCACAGTCAGGAACACAACAAAGCATGGAATTTCTCGACAAGAGAGAAAGAAAGGAAGCTAAGATGCTAAGAAATCATTATACAGATCATATTTATTTAAATCCAAGAGAAATGTCGACTGCCAGTCACCAGCAAAATGAGAAAAGGCATTACAGCTGGCTTTTAAAAAAAGAAGGTCCTTTGGACCAGTCATCCTCACTGGCTACTTAGAATTGCTGCTGTTCACAGCTTAACTGGTGTCATGTTACTCCGTCTCAGAAGATGCAAATCTGTCTCATGAGAGAACAGTTCTCAAAAGTGGTTGTGTTTTTTTTTTCTGATGACATATGGAAAGAAATTCCTCATACATATTGAAACCATTTTACTTTCTTTCAAGCTGTTTCAGTCATATGATATACGGCATAGCATAAAAAGCAGTTCCAAAGTGAAAAAACCTAGAAGAAAAAAAATGTAATTTTTTTTTTTAGATTTTTACTTCTGGGAACATCCTTTCTCCCATCTTTTCATTAACAAATTAATTCAATTTCTGCAAAATGGATATTACTTTTACAAAGTAATTTGACTTTGATGAGACAACGTATTGACTTGGATTCTCTGGCAACATTTCTCTTGAATCTTTTTTTCAAACTGATCTGATAGTAGAAATATTATCCTTATTGCGTGAAAATAAAGGTCCTCATTGCTTTAAGTTGGGCAGTTAGTTCCTCACCCTCTCCAAAAAGACAAAAATCATATCATTGTATGAAAAGGAGTATAAAAAAATCCAACTACTATTATTTTTGGTAGGAAACATAAGGCCAAGCTCTGCCACTATCTGAAAAATGGAAAGAAAAAGTGTAGTGGCAGAAACAAAACTTGTTAATTGTATTCTTGAGTATTTTTTTCAGTAGCCCTGACCTCCTCCCAGCCATTATTACAATAATCTAAGCAGCGTTAAATACACAGTTGTCCTTCCCCTGCCCCCTAAATACTGTGGTCTGTGGGCACAGCCAGGGTTGTTGGAGCAGCAACGTGTTGCAATTGCACATTTGCAGGTTGTGGAAAAGGTAATGGGAGAACACACCCTTTGCATTAAATGATCTACCCGGTATTATTGCATGACTAGAAAGGGATTTTGTTCTACCTTTGAGCGTGGAGCTGGGAAAAGTCCTGCAGCCTGGACTGGGGACTGGTTTCTGACCCTGGGACTGGAATTCCCAGCCTTGTTTTGCCGCTGGCTGCGATGGGGATCTCCCTCAGCTGGTGCCGGGTCTGGGAGGCATCTCCCTGGGCTCTGCTCCGGCCGCGCTGCCCAGGCCTAGAGAGGAGAAGGACAGGGCAGGGCTCTGCCACTCTTGGGGACAGGCAGAGGCTCTGTTGGTGAGCTGTGAAGGTTTCTGTGAAGGCTATGAGCACCCTCCTGTGATGATGGCCTTCAAGGAGCCAGCGAAGGAATGAGGTAAGCTTGCCAGATGTTCCTCTTACTTCTTCTCTTGCACGGTGCTGGGAGAGGGTGAAGGAAAGGACAGCTTTCTGGCTGCTAAGATAATTCTCTGCTTGAAAGTTGGCTTTGAAAGCTGTCCAAACGTGTAACTTTAACCTTTGAAAAAGATATTATTATTGAAGGTTTTACAAAATAATATTAGCCTATTTCATATGCATTGAAGAGTACCACTTCATGCAAAGCTACAATAAATATATCCAGAACAAGGTAATTAGCAGTGACAATTGTTTGCCACCTTTTTTTTTTTTTAGTCAGACACTTTCAAGCCCTGTAAATAAGTAGGGTCTAACACTAATAAATTATTTATATAAGAGGAACTTGCCAACCATTTTACTTACCAGTTTTTAAAGAAAACATTTTAGAGCTAGAATCTTGTAAAATTTCAGCCTGGAGCAGACTTCACCAAAGTTAATGAGCCGTGAAAATAAGATTTAGCTCAGGAAGGCTGCTAAAACCTTTTTGCAGCTGTAGCCTGTATAGCAGGCTATGATCAGTTAAAATAGATACCTCAATTAATCCTTTATTGGAAATTGAGAAAATAACTTATATAGCTTCATTAAAAAAGAAAAGTATTTGGCAGTTTTTCTACTGTGTTATATACTACCTTTGTGGCACCAAGAGTATGGGAATCACTGCAAAGGCAAGGAGGGGACTTGCGGGCTGGGGAAATACTGCTCTGGTCTGCTAAGCCTTCCTGGTCCCTCCTTCCTCCATTCCTCCTCTTTCCCTCCCTAGTACTTTACTTCAGGGACTAGTTCAAAAAGTTCTTCTGAGGTTCACCTAAATCTTACATCCAAAAAATGCCATTCAGAGTTGTATTGTAACAACCATGGAGGCCAAGGGAAGGTACTTAAATAAAGACACAAATAAGCTTCTTTGGATGTGGTTAATAGTTAATAATAAATTAATAGTTAATAATAAAGATCTTATTAAAAAGTAAAATGAAAAAGCAATCAATTGAGAAAGATTCTTCTTGCTCCCCTAGGTCTCTTTAGCAAAGACAGACAGGTGGTTTTTTATTAGGAAAAAAGGGCAAGTCTGCTTCAGTTTTGGAAAAATGTTCCTGCTATGGAAAGGGATACTCTCTGTGGATCCTATTGCAAACCAAAATTGCAGATATTTCATCTTTAAAATTGAATAAACCAGATCATCAATAGCATAAAGTGGTATGGTGCCAAAAACTAGAACTGGCTGAAGATAATTAATTACTGTACTGCTGGTTTTGGCAGAATATCTTGTTATAAATCAGAATGCATTCAGATCGGTATAATCTCCAGGAGAGAAATCCAGGAGGTTAATTTTGTTTTCTAGCTTTCTCATATGCATATATATAAATGCTCACTTACCTATGCATATGTATCTATGTGTATGTAACATACACACATATGTATCTATAGCTATGTGTTTTTAGATAGATGTATATATATAATGCAGAAAAACGGAGATCTGGAAGAAAAATACAGCTTTCGGTTATAACATGTTTCAGACTAACGTTGGCTACTGATATAAATGGCATCCAAAAAAGGGGGCAGGCTCTGACAGAAGAAGAAAAAGGTTAAAAAAAGGGGGAAAAATCAAACAAATATAGTGTACTTGGTATCTCTTACCCATATTGTTTGCATATATGACTAACATGTCTCAACACTATGCTTTGAAAACAACCTTGAAACACTCTTTCCTCACCTGGAATGACAGTAATCTATATCGGGGCAAAAATACGCAAAAATGCAATGGTAAATTTAGGAGTCTGGCTTGTATTATCATGCTAGCAACGTGTCTACATACTTATATGTTTTCTTTTAGAAGACCAAACTATACCTTTTCCTATTTAAAATTAAGGTCCTAACAGTAATGCAAATCAAAACAAAGAAACCAAACCCCCTTTAACTTTTTTGGCAGGGTGATCTCATACAGTAAAATCTGTCATAAAGTTTTACTCAATTTTATGGTCTATTCACAATTTTTTGACTTTCAAATTTCCCTTCTTTTCAAGACAGATGTCTGGGAAAAACAGAAAACAACAAACTGTCACTACATTCACCAGGCTGGACTCTCGTTCCAAATGTCATTTTCGCTTATGCTGCTTCGTAAGATCATATGAGAAATGACATAGAAAGGTCACAGAACTGTCACTTCTATATTAAAATGAAATAGCCTCTCATTTGCTGTGCTTCTTCACAATTTTCAGAACTTAATGTCAGTAAATGAGTGGCATAAAAATGGCATTTATAAATTCAGTCCATTTTGTTGTATCCAGAAAACAGATATGGAACTTGGCACCTTCTGGGTGTTTTCTTGATAGCAGATATTTAGAAAAATATCCAACTCCATGAAGAATTATTTATCAAACTAAACATGCTATCTATATGTAAACGCCCCTACCTGTTGCAGAGATTACTTTTATATCCCCATTTTTCTCCAGCCTTGGTGACACATTGTAGCAGTTGAAGTGCTGATAAAAGTTATTGGGTCCTGCTGACCACAGAATGGAAAATGTCAAATAGATCGAAATCCACAGATTAAAGTGAAAATAATTGCTAAAGTTGCTACTGTCACTTGTACGTATTTGCTTGGCAACACAATGTCCATATTAAATAGACAAATGTAATAGATAAATGTCGTTCTAGACAAAAAAAAAAGCCTTACACCATAACTGGCTATAAACATTAGCACTCTATCTTAGTGGGCGAATGTTGTATGAGATTAGAAACTAAACTTCCCTTGTTCCATTTGAGAAATTATAGTGGCTGCTGGCTGCCTGTCAGCACCTAAGTGCCTATGGCCATCTGGTCCGTGTGAATACACATTTAAAGGTGGATGGTGATGTGCAGTGTGGGAACGGGTGCAATTCTTTAATGTGTGGAAAAGGGGAGCTCACACTCCAGACTAGAATAGTTTTCTGCCCTGAGGCACAGCTGAAAAGCCCACCCAAGGGCGAGGGACTGAACGATCCCTGGATCCAGCTCCTGGTGCTGCAGACAAGACAGCTAACGACTTCAGCCAGCTCCACCCCAAACCAAAGTGGACCAGCTGCTTCCTTCCTCCTGGCTCACCAAGCAGCACCTATACTCAGCTCACCTTCCCTTCCTTAACTCCTAGCTCCAGCGCTGCTACATATCAAAGCCTTATTTAAAATCTAGGTAACACACAGTCATCACACACGTCTAAAATACAGGAGTAGATTGCTCTGGCATTCTAGGTGTCGCTTTTCAAGACCTCCTCCTTCTAGGCCTTCAGTTTCTGTTTCCTTCCCCATTTGTTTCACTACCCCCCTGGCCAGGGCAGTCATCACATAACATTCTCTTCCACCCATTTCCCCGTCTACTTCCATTCTTCAGTGTCATTGCCATATTTTATATTCACAGCTATGAGGTATCATCTCCCCCTTACACCCACATCTCAAAGAATTATTAAACTCGTTTTTATAGTCTTGCAACATTACATGCCAGCTTTTTCAGCACTGTGGGGGTGGAATAGTAAGTCCTTCAGCATGAGCAGATCGAGGGCCTGTTCTATTTGGTTGCCAGCTCTGCTCACACTTCCTAGCTAATACACCATTGTATGAGCTAGTCCATCTTCAGGTACGTTCATAGTCCTGCTAAAAACGTAACACTCGTATGCTGTAGAGGCCCTCTGCATTGCCTAAAATCTCCCATCTCCTGGTGTTCTCTTTCATTTGGCTGTCCAATGTTTTTATTGTGTTCTCAATTTCCTTTGCAAAGTCTGGCAGCTTTCACTTCCTAACTTCTCCCTTTCTCTGCCTAAATCTCCAAGATTTAGCTGTTGCAAATAAATCTTTTTCCATTCCAAGTAGGTCTTCTGCTTGCTCTTTGTTGTCTTACTGAATGAGGTTATTTGTTCAATAATCTCTCAACTACTAATTTTCACATCTTACTGGGATACAGATTTCAGGCAGCTTTTGCCCTAATTTTAAAAATAACCTAACCTCTCCCTTCCACCTGACTTTATTAACTGTTTCTCTTACATGCTAGAAGTTTTCCTGTTTCAGAATGAAGCTTAATATTTGTTGATGTTTACACAAAATTAATGTGAGCTATCAATTTATATCACTTTACATCAGTTTTAAATTAATTCCTTCACCAAAATTCATGGCTGAATGAACAGCACCCTTCACTTTGGAAATGGTGAAGTCTTTCACCTGTCACAGCCTGCAGTGACTGAACCATGTTGGCAATATCTTTTCTCCAGCCTGACTTTGGGAAGTTAAAGTATCTCATGGTGATACAGATCCCAGCAGTACTTCTCTCTCTAGTAATATTTGTCTTTTTAACTTTATGTCTTTACAGTCTGCTTGAGCAAAGGAAAGTCGTAACAGGTGAAGGATTTAGGACAGATGCACCCTTCAACATCAACAGAAATTGATCTACAGTAATTCTTCAAAAGTGCTTTGGCTCCAGATAAATTCTTGTAACTCCGGCTTCCACCAGCTTCCCAGGCAGTGCATGCCATCAGTCCTTGTCTCAGTCACGGTAGCTATCTGGCTGTCCCTACAAAATCTGACTCAACCTGCAGCAGAAATTCTAATTCCTGTTTTACTCTCCTGACATTTTTTAATCTTTCTTTGCTGAACAAACATTGCAGTTGTTCTTTTCTCCTAAAACCTAATTGTGTGACATTACAGCTAAGTAGCTTACGGTCTCTGCTGCTGAACAATAGCACTTTTTATACTTGCAAGAACCCTTTGTAATATTTCATGCAGCCAGTGCAGCTGTAGGCTGTCACATTCTGAATATTTTTTGTCTGAGTCCTTGGAAAACCACTTTGTGTTTAAGATGTACAGAGGGGAGACACAGAGACAGATTCTGCTGGATCGGATCTCCACTATACTCTTTCTGTTACTGCTCACGTGAGGCAGATCAATGAGAGATGGAGGTCATTCTTGACACTAATTCCAGAATTTCTTGAGAGAAGAGTCCACGTTCTTGAACAGAAAAGACCGGATTTTCAGTACTAGACTTTCCTCAATATTTGTGCTTGTGGGTGCAGGCAATTCTTTTTCACAACGAGCAGAAACAGAAATGGAAAGAACGCTTTGCTGCTCCTCTGTCTGTAAAAGTAATTTTCCTGATGCTTCTATTCGTTGGCTATTGAGTTGGAAAAGTAAATTCTGGAATTTGGCAATTTATGTCCATTAAAATTAGCAGCAACACTTCCAGTCAGCTTAGCAGAGGCCAGACTTCCCCTCAAGAGCATAAGAGGGTCTTCTTGCAGTTTGGTCCCCATCCTGCCCACTAAAGGAAGAAACTACAGCCCAGCAGGAGGAAACTATGGTGTTCTCTGTGTCCACTGCCTGTCTGTGGAGTCAGGGCACTGAAAACTTAAGTAGACAGTACTTATACCTTATACCTCAGGATAGTTAAAAACATATCAATGTAAGCATCAGCAAAAACAGTTACAGTCCAGACAATGGACTGGTCTATGCAAGAGGCAGATTTGCCAGGACCATCTCCAACCATTCTAAAGTTATTCTGGGGTGCAATAACTGAATTGTTTTATGACCTCTAGCTCAAAACCACCTTTGTACTTCAGGGCTGAAAGACAGAAAATATGATAAATGTATGTCATGGGAAAGCCATAGAATTACACGATAGTAAATCTGTTGTCCATACCTTAAAAATCATTAGAAAGTATAAGAAAAATGGAAATAGATGAACTAGAATATAGATGAGAGTCTTCATTTGTTGCTGTTCTTTAAAGGAGAGAAAAAGTATGCGACAAAGAAGAGACATTTGATATTATCTATTTGGCTTTCCAAAAACCTCTCCAAATCTCCCTCATCAAAAGGGAAGGATTAAAGAGCTGAAAACATAGAATACTAGAATATAGATGAGAGTCTTCATTTGTTGTTGTTCTTTAAAGGAGAGAAAAAGTATGTGACAAAGAAGAGCCATTTGATATTATCTACTTGGCTTTCCAAAAAGCTCTCCAAATCTCCCTCACCAAAAGGGAGAAAGAGCTGAAAACATAGAATTAAAGAAGAGACATTTGATATTATCTATTTGGCTTTCCAAAAACCTCTCCAAATCTCCCTCATCAAAAGGGAAGGATTAAAGAGCTGAAAACATAGAATAGGAGTAAAGACTGTAGCTTTGCTAAAGAAGTGCAAAAAACCCCAACCCTTTAGATCAGTGACTGGTTATTTAAATGGCAGATAAAAATCAACAAACTAAACGTGAAATGATATAGATGAAGGAAAGAAAAATTATAATTTTGCATATAGCACTATGGGCTCTAAATTACTCCAGAATGCATCTTGCAGAGTAATACACAATCCATGAGAACATCAGCTTAGGGAGTAGAAAAATCAAGCCAAATATTAGGAACCATTAAGGGGAGGAGGGGGAACTTTCTCTGACTGAGGTAGTTTCTGACTTTACATTGGTCTGTCCCAGGCATCTGCTTCTGGTTGTTGCTACAGATGGCATACTAGGACCTTTGGTCTTGCGCAGTATAGCAATTTTTAATGCTTTTAGGGATGTGCCTCAGAGAATTTAGCAATTTCTTCAGTAAAATTCTAAAAATCAGACTTCCATAAATAATATAACAAAGCCTAATTGCATCAGGCTTGTTTTCATTTCCTATGAGTATATATTTTTTTTTCCAATCTCTTTAATTTTTCTAATCCTAAATTGCAAAGTTGTTTTTATTCAGTTTTATATCCTCCCTATTTATCTCTCCTTAAATTCTCCTAATATATTCTTCAAAACCATGACTCTGACTAGGAAGGCCAAGGAACATTAAGTCAACTGTACTGAACTTGTCTGAACATAATCTGACTCGCAGCTTGCCTTAAATATTATTTTGCTTCCTGTGTATCCTTTTGATTTTACAACAGAAATTTCCCTGAAGCAGCACTTACTTACATTACAGTGCTTTCCCTAAGACAGGTTAATTGTTATTCTTTTTAATTATTCTCTACTCAGCTTCAGAAGAGCTGTCAAAATATACCTTTATGGTAATATATTTCACAATCAGATTGGAATAGAAAGTAAAAAATTATTTCTAGGTAAGTTAGTTTTTCTCATCAACTTCCTTGGAAGAAATTTGCACAGCATAATGTATTGCATAGATTGCTTGCAAATATGCCAGGAACAGCTTATTGAGAGTGACAAATAATTAAAATAAAGTTTGATGGGGGAAAGATGCAAGCATATAAAGACTCATAAAAATCATAAAATTTTTATTAGATGCAATTCATACAGAAAATTTGGCTCCTTCAAGTAGTATCCTCCTTCTGATGTTCCTACACCAAGCTCAAAATTAAACAAATTGAAAAATTGGTATAAAATTAAATCCCAGCCTAGGAAACTTCTTCATAACTTTACTGTAGATTGCCAAAAAAACATTATCTCTATAATAAATCAGGGTCCACCTTGGTTCTTGCTAAGTTATTCTATATATTCCCTTGGACTTTGAGATGTATTTTTTTGTTTTGGCATATGCTATTCTCAGTGAGGCACAACTTTTCTGTTACTCATCTGTTTCCCCCTGCGCTTGATCAAACTAGCTTTACCTTGTCAAAACCCACATGCCTCAGGTGTCTTTGAGCACACAGTTTTTTCTGAGACAGGCGCAGACATTGGCAGGATAAAGCTTCATTACTGTTTTAGGCTGATCTAGATCCTCGTGCTACCACTGGCATTGTCTGCCCCTTGTTCCACTTGGTGTTTTATTACTGAGCCCTTCTTTGTGCCATGCCAGTGCTGATCTGGTCACAGAGATGAGTTGATTACAAATAAAATCTATTTTAAAAATTCTGTTACTTTTAATGGGGTTGTCTCTCCACCATGGCCCACCAGTCAGGTGGAGAAAGGCAGCTCGTGGCCTGCAGGAGGTGTGACAAGGTCAGATTCAGGCTGCTTGAAAAATGCAACCAGAGTCAGCACAGCTTTACTCACCTTCAGGACAGTTGCTCTTCAGCTGCAGCATTCAGCTCTTCAGTTCTCTTTGAGTCGTTCTCTCATCATCCCACTGGATAGCTACCATCGTTTAAGCATCAGAGAAATTCATAGATTTTAAGGACAGAAGAGAGAATCTTACATTTAGCCATACTCCAATAGCGTATACACATACGCTATTGTCATCTCCAAGGTACTGGAGTTTATAATCTTGGATGTGGTTTAAGAGGTATACACAACACTTACAGATTCCATTTCTTCAGCAGAAGTTGTAGCAATATCAGGCTGTGAGTGTGTGTGCATCTGCTCAGCTTTGCATCCGTGACTGTGTCCTTTGGGTCTGCCATAGTGCAGGGAAGCCAGGGGGATGTCACTCAATTGCTGTATTTTTCATCATATCCATGCAGACCTATACCCATCTACAATACACTCCAATTGTTTGTTGGAAAATGCACACATCAGAAAAAAATATAGAGGTAAAATCAAGCTGCAGATATTTCAACAGCCTCAAATCTTGAAGCAGCCCTTTCTGCTGGGATTTAGAGAAGTTCAATATCAAGGAACACAAAGTTAAATTACAGAGGTCAGTAAACTGATCAGAGGTTAATCTCTAAGGTCATGTCTGAGGAGTGGTTAAAGATATTTTAGTGACTTGTTCTTACAAAGTAAGCAATACAAATACTGGATAGATATAACAGTCACAGCAATTTTAGAACCTAACTGACCGTCCGAGTATGGTTATTCTGCAACAGCATGAGGCTGTGTTACTTCACCCCATAGTAAATGAGCATAGAAATAACCATGAACTAATCATGGAAAGGAGAATTATTTTTTGTCAAATTGCTTTGGGAAAACAAAGTCCTACTGAAAACTTCTACTTTGTAATTTATTCACTTTGCTAGCAGGTACACAACTTCAGACAGACAGATACTAGCTGACATACCAACACTAGTTACTAATATGAGGGACCTGGACAGAAAATAGAAGATATTAAGGTGTACTCACTTCTCATGGGACTTTTTCGCCTTCCACAGCTCAGATGTTCAAGTATCTTGTTCTTAAAAAAATACAAAATTGATCAATGTATTTAGTGATTTTCAGATACAGAGAAAGAAGTGATGATTAGTGAAAATAATACAAATCAGTGGAAACAATCACATTGACTGATCCTGTTTCTTATGTGTTTTACATGTCTTAGTCCCTGTATTGATGCTCTTGCAGCTTCTCATCATGGGAAGGACATGATCAGAATGACTTTGGTTATTGAAGAGTGAGGGTAGATGTTCTTGCACAGCTGAAAAAGGTTGCCTTCCTGAAAGTGTGACACTCTCTTCTCCTGCATCTTTACCAATGTGCTAGTAGAAAAAGTTCTTAAAGAGACAGAAGTTTTTCCATGGCTCCATTTCACAACACACCTGGTTCTTGAATACAATGGCTTATTAACTGAACTTCCAGTGAAAATATTTTGGGAGGGATTGAAGCTGGGGGTCAAGATTAGAAGTGATGCAGCTTCAGGTCTGTACTTATGAAAAAGAGTTTCTCCATTAGCTAAGGCTCTGCTAAAAAGTTCCTGATAAAGCACGTTTTCCCTTTGTTTTCTGTTAAATATTAGCTGTAGTAGACACCTGAATGTGGCATAGCCTTTCAACAGAAAAGTATGTGTCTACTTAAATATTGTTGTTCCATTAAACAAAGATGGCGTTAATTTTAGATGTTTTATATAGATGTTTTTTAATAGGAAAATAAGTAGTTGCCAACGATGTTTTGCTTCTCATAGCAGAAGCAAAACTATTCTTTTCTTTTTTAAAGGAAAAACTGAGCAGTAGATTTTTCTTTTGATGTTGGTCTTTGATTTGCCACATATTTTGATTTATAACTGACATGACTCAGTTTAATTGAAGACAAAAGGGCAGAGGAGATATGTATTTTAATGATCTGTTTAATGATAAAATACCAGCAGAAACAGCATAAAACTAGTGAGAAAGTATTTGTTGATGAAGAAATAGTTCCAATGAGAAAAGGATACCCTTTCGGGAGGAGGAAGGGATACATAAAAGAATAGAGAAGGAAGAATATGCACATGAAAGATGTCTTTTAAACATTTACCCACAGGTGTGCAGAAGTAAAGCAAGTTGGCTAAACTCAATGTATTCTTTGGCTCATATCTTGATGCAAAACTACACAACTGGTAGACCTCCAAAAAGCATAAATGGACATTGGTCTCAATACCTAAATTATGAGTTGTCCATGGCTCAGTTCTCCTTAAGCAAAAACAAAACCCCGTTTTTCTGACACCAAACCAGATCAGCTGGTGCCATGCCAGGGCCACCACCTGCCCTATGCAGGGTTTGAATCACAAGCAACTCACGCCTTTGACAAATATAAAGCACTTAGCATTATAGTCGGATAATTTTTAGTCAGCCCACTTGGAGGATATTTTTAACAAAAATGCACGTAGTACTTACTATTCATTGTTCAAAATAAATATCTACTGTTAAACTAGTAATGTTTTTATTGGGCTATGAAATAAAAATTTATAGCCTTCTTGCTGCAATTTAATTTCATTTTAGGTGAAAATGTATAGGTTGAAGAAGAGCAGCCAGTAGTTTTATCTATTTAAAGTTTTAATGTAAGAAAATTATCTCATAAGAGTAAAAGCTTTAGAAATTTCCATGAAAGTAAGCTAGTGAAGTATTGGCAAAAAAGCATTTTTTAGTTGTATATTTGTGCCAAAATCAGTGAAACCTATTTCAAATTAGATATAGAAAGCATTTGTTTTACTATTGGTGTGGATATCTCAGAATCAAACTCAAGGCTACTCTTTAGAGCCGTTTCTTTCTCTCTTCACTCATAATCAAAACCATCCATCACGTAAGTTAATTAAGTCTCAGTATTGCCAAGGAAACCACAGCCCTGTGTTGTATGTCCCACTTATAATTTCTGGATACCCATGAACATCTTTTGCTGGGTGAGGTAAATGCATGGGGCTACTGTGTCTGCATGTCGTCTGGGTCTCCATTTCTAGTGCAAGGCTTCCAATGCCTTCTGCTATGGGAAAATGCAAAGGTTTTGCACAGATAATCACCATCATTACCAAAAAAATCTGATATGTCTCAAACTAGTCATAGGTATCTAACATAAAGTACAATTTCGGCTTAGACTTTGGTAAGATAAAGTGAAATCAAGCAACTGTTCAATGTGTCATATCTTTTTCAATGTGTAACTTGTGCTTTTCAAACCTGTACAACTAAAAAGGAGAGCGAGGCCAGCACCTTCTATGAGGCTGAATTTGAAACTAATATTTCCCTCACAAAGTAAAAATGCCATTTGCTTATGTAATTACTGTTCTAATGTGTTTGTTAAATGCAGCTTAATACATGCAAGCTCACCTAATATTTTCTCTTTAGGAGAATTTTGGGAGATTTTTTTTGTTTTCATACATCTCCCTCAACACTCACTGTTATCAAACTAGTAAGGTTTTGTAAGAGGGCTCAAACCCTCTCAGTGAGGTTTCAGAAGGAGCCGTGAGAGCTTGCAAATGCTCTTGTCCTGGTCTGCACCATTCTTTATGGGGATTGAACATGAGCTAACGCAGATAAGTGAGCTTGCCTACCCCAGACTGTTTACCCCCAATTAGTAGGTTTAATTCAACAATATAACTCTTCAACTTTATCTTACTCTGAATCTCAAGCCAAAGAGAACAATCTTTTTTAACAAAGTAATAGATTTATGGAGCAGGGTTTAATGTTAAGACAGAAGACTGATTGCAGAGTAAATCTGTTACATTTCTCTGCTTTTCACCTTCTTTCTTTAGCACAGCAGGGTTATTCTGGAATAGAAAAGGTACTACTTTTATGCAATTTTTTGCCAACATTTTGTGGTTGTAAGTCTGTTATTTGGGGGCCTTTTCCATGGAATTTAGCCATTCCAATGACACTTTGTAATTTGCTTTGTTCAGGAAAGGTTTTTAGTCACACAAGTAGCATAGAGACAAAGAATACAGACCAAAATAAATGCTTTTCCAAACAGCGAGATGTTTATATAGAAGGCTTACCGAGAAGTGATGTAAGTATGGAAGGAATCCAAATATCCTGTAGGACTCTACTGGCCACATACGGCTTTAGCGAATAATGCTTCATGTTGTTCAGAATACCTATTCCAAAAGCAAAAACACAACAAAACCCACATGAAAACTAGAAACCTTTGTCCTGTAATTTTCTGGACCTCTGAAACGTCACAGCTAAAATAAAATCTGAAGTAGAAAACTCTCTGAACCTTCAGAAAAAAAGTATTGTTTCAGTGCTTTTGTTGTCATATTTCAATCTGTTACTACAAAAATTTCACTCTGGGTGAATGTTTGTTTGTTTGTATATTGGCACTGCCCAAGTGGCACAGGCAAAACAAGGGACAGGCATTGCATGTTCACTAAGCATTTTGTGCCCAGACAATAAAGGCCAAGCCCAGCAAAGGAAATAGGAACATTAAAGTCAAATCAACTAAATGCATATACGTGACTTTGCACTATTAAGGAATATCAAAAATTAAATCTTTGCACAGACAACAGCTATTTTGGTTCTCTTCCATCTCTATTAGCAGTAATGCAATTAATCAGTAAGCACCATGCAGTCAAAGGATTCACTACAATATTGGCAATAGTTATGGGCTTTGAGGGTTGGTTTATTTCTCCCTTGTAATAGGAACCACTCACTAAGAAATACCATCTTTACTTTCATTTTGTGATATGGGATCCTCACACCTCTGATCTTTCTGTTCTCTATTTCCCATGTCAGATTTATCATTTGCAGATACTCACATTCCAGGCCAGGAGTTACACGTCTGGGGTGTGTAAGACCCACGTCTCCTGCACAACAGGACTGTAATTGAGCAACTTCCCCAGGACTGCAGTCCACAATATATATGGCATTTCTAGACCTTGCCAACTTAACCAGAGCATTTTATTTTTACAAGTGATTGATCAATAGGGATTGAAGTGTGCAATGAAATATCAGTAATGGTAGATCACTTCTTCCTATGTTGCTGAAGTACCTGTCTTCTAGCAACTCGTTACTCAAGCATACAGTGGAAAATGGAAATCCACCCACAATGACAGCAAAATGAATATGCAGTATAATATGAATAGCTCCACATGTTAACTGGAGCAAAATAAATTATTCCTATATGTGCCAGGGCATTTTCAAGCAGGTTTCACCATTATAGAAGAATAAATCCAGTAATTCTTTCTTATAGTGGAAGAAATATCAAAGGAAAGTTCACCAGAGTACCCTCACAGTATTTTGTATAGAAGTCATGTCTTGAGCAAGGCTACAGAAGGCAGAAAAAAACAACAACAGCTGAAGGTTGAACTGTAATTGAAAATAAGGAGACAATACTTCTCTGGGCAGTACATGAGAGGAAATCTTGGTCCCTGTATGTCACCACTGTCACCCATTTTGTGGTTATATGTATTTTTCTGAACTTGAATTTGTGCTGGGGTCTCCCTCTCATTCCTTTTCATTCATTCCTAATAAAAAAAAAATAATTTAGATGGTCAAGAAAATATATCCACAAACATTACTCTTCTGTTATCTTTAACTTCAACTCAGCTCTGAATTTGCACTTGGAAAAAAAAAAAAAAAAGGAATTTAAAAAAATGGAAAGATGACAGAATTTTCCCAGTGTTCTTTATAAAAGATCAAATAGATCTTTTTCTATTTTAATAAAAAAACCTGCTGATTCACCGTAACTGTGGGCATGTCCCTAAAACATTAGCTTTGAAAGCTATTCTTCTAGGCGTTCTACAGACTTGAGCAGGAATATCTACATTTGCATTATATTCACGGTTTTAGACTTTTTGGGCTAAGTCTAAAATATAGAAGGCTTCTGTTGCTTTTCTTGTAAATAGAGGAGGAGATTCTTATATCAGAAAATGCCTAGAAAAATGGAAATGGCATTTGCTGCCCTGTGCTGGCCTATTCCAAGTCCTGCCTTAAAGAAAGACTTTCCCTCTTCCACATAATGGAAGAAGGAGGATTTCCATTATGGTCTCTCACAAAAGAGAGAATAGTGAGCAGTATCACAGTAAGCCACAGGACGTAACTTATATGAATAAGATTGTGGCCTGATGTTATAGTTTTACAGGAAACAATTCATTATACATAGTCTGCTGCACAGTAATTTTGAAGTTGGAAATTTCACAGAAGACAGAAGTGTATTCAGTTCCGTGATTTTCCACATATAAAAGCTAATGACCATAGAAGTCCAAACTTTTTTTCCAAGACGGGGTACATCCAACATTAAGTGTAGAGCGCCCCATTTATATCACCTGCATGAAACCACTCCTGGCTGAGTTCGACATTTTCCTCAGGAGGTTGGTGGACTTTGTAACAGTCTGTGAATGCATCTCAGAAAGTACTGCCAGCAAGCCAAAAAGAGATGGAAATACCTGACCAGGAGAAGTGAGCTATAAGAAAAGAAATCTGCTCTACAGTTTGAGCTCTAGGACTGGTACTGGGAAAAAATAAATCATGGATGAATCTAAAATCATGGATGGATCTAAAACCAATATGGTATGAACATAGTTCATATTACAATAAATTTTGGTTGTAATCCTAAATCTGTTGAAGTCAGTAGAAGGACTTATATTGGTTGAACTGTGGCATGGCTCCTGAGCTGCCTTTGGGTTATGGAGTCACAGGAACATATAAGAAGATTTCAACATCTGCTGAAATCATTGCTCCAATAGAAAATTCAAGGGTGCACTTTAAACCATTTTCCACTTAATACAGAATTGCTTCTTACAGCATGGAATCATTTCTTTTCAATAAGGTGTCAAAAATGGCTTTTGATATGTATCAAAGAAATATCTGTGTAGAAACACATCACATTTCAAACTGGCACAGAGTTGTCACTCTGTTTCAACTTAGAAGGTTTCACAGTTTTTCTCAAAAATACTTACTCATCTTGTCTCATTTCTGTGTTAAAATCATCACATACACAGCATTTAAATTATTTTGACAGTATGTTTTGTGAATGTATAAAGCATATTTAACCTAGTTTGGAAAATATATTGTATGGCTTTCTTTGACTGCAAATGATTTGTTTCTTCTGCAGAAGCAAAACACATTGTGATGTACCTTTATGTGTGTTCTGCTGCAAAGCTCACTTAGTTTTATGGCTTTAGCATTAACTGCTCCTGGAAGGAGGTCACATGGAGTCTATTCTCTGCCCTGAAAATAAAGACGACTGCATGTAAGGGTCAGAAGTCTGTATCCAGATGCTAAACTGCAAGCAGTTAGATCGAAACCACCATGTCCAATATAGTTTTGGTTTATATCAAAATGTTAATATAATAGTGATATATTATAATGTTAATATTGCCATTTGGGGGCCTTATATTAACATTTTGGACCTAAATGTTAACATTTTACCATCATGGTGAACGGGACTGGTGAGATGTCTGAGTGTCCTGTTCATTCAGTGTGCTTCCAGGTATCACTCAAAAAGGAAAGAGATACTGTCAGAAGGTAAATATGGGAGCAAGTGATTAATTCTGGTTTTTAATCTAGAATGAATCCTGCCCATGGCAGGGAAGTTGGGACTAGATGATCTTTAAAATACCTTCAAGCCTAAACAATTCTATGATATTATAATGTATGTTTTCAGAACCAATGATATCATTTAGTGGAGCCATTGGTTTCCATTTACATGTGTTGATTAAATATGCATAAGTTTGAATATCAGCTGCTAGAGGGGAGCTGGATTTCCTACTCTAGTGAACCAGGCTTCAGACAGAAATTTGCAGCTGTTTGCAAGGACCTAAATATATAGGGTTTGATTTATTCTAAACCTTTGCTCTAGACATTATAAACATTTGGCAATAAACACTTCCTGGTTTAGAAGAAAGCTGCCATATTAGCTGTCAGATTAATGGTTAGATTCTATCCTAGTTTAGCCCTTTCAGTGTCTCTTTTATTGTGTGGGAAGTTTTGAAACCCCAGAGCAAACAACAACAGTTATTTTAAAAGTACTAACAGTGAAAATGAAGACTCCCATCAGCTACCAAGGATTTCAAATCAGGCATTTATACACAAATCATAATTTCTGCACACTTATGCTCTTTTGTAAATCAGGTTCCTCATTTAAGGGACTAATCACAGACTGAGTTGTGTAACACAGCTTCAATAAATTTCTGTCTGAAAACTGAACCAGCCAGTAAGTTTTTACTGAATATTAGACTTGAAAACTGCTCTCCCAAACTTCTTTCAGTGCGATACCAAATGATGCCACACTTATTAGGCACTGATAGGGTCATGGCAGCCACAAACATGCTGTTGTCCTGCTCTTTGACACAGTCCCTGGTCCGAGCCAGGCCTGCGATGACTCCCATCATGCGTTACAGACGCACTCCTTCTCCCACCAAGCATTTCACTGAATTTCACTGAAATTGCATCATGAACTGTATGTTTTCAAAGGGAGGATTACAATATCTGGAAGCAGCTTCCACTACTCCAGAAAATGCTTTAGGGTTTTAGAAGAAGCAATATTTGCTGTATAACCAGAAAAAGGATAGTTTAATAAAACGGGTGACATAGCAGGTCTGAAAAATGAAGCCATTTGAAATAAGGATTTGTATTAATCTGCTGAAGAATTGCTCCTGGGATTTTCTGTTGGAATTATCACAGACAAGCTGAACATAAATGACTATCAAATCCCTATTACTTTCCTTTTGTTTTCCTTTTCACCCTGACTTCTACTTTTTCATTCTCTAGATAAGGTGTTCCATCTTCCCTGGTTGTTCCTCCATATCTTTAAAAATGCTTCTTTCCTTTTGTTCATTAAGAAAAGCTATAATCAAAAAAGCTATCGTCTTTAAATTACTGCAGTTTTAGCCTTTTTCAAATGTTTTCTAATATCTTAAAAAATAAATTTTTAATTAGTAGTAGTTCCCCACTATTTGATAAGGCCAGCTCAGTTGTCACTCTTCACATCCTCCTTAGGTCTTGCTGTAGCCAGACGTGCCCACTGAGCAATTTTCTCAGGAGAGGATAAAAACAATCACTAAGCAGATATTGGGAGATTATAAGTGTGTTTATTAATTTATTTAATTAGCTAGCATGGGCATGTCAATAGTTGGTTCATCTTGTGATATTCTACAGTCAGACTTTAAAAAGTTATAGTTGGCCATTAACTCTTTAAGCTTGTTTAACTCAAAAATGTCCTTTCCCTGCATCCAGTTAGTCTGGAAACGCTCTTCCCAAGCGTCATTTAAGATCACGAGATTAAAGATGCTATGGACTGCACGCTTCCCAGGTGGCTTGGCAGCAGAGCAGGCTCTAGCTATCTCCCAGTGCACAGAACCAGACCCCAAGCAGAAGAAACGTGCAGGTTTTTGCAGGGACCTAAGTATTTCTGTGTTGATTTGTTTCAAGCCTTTGTTCTGGGCATTACAGAACTTTGACAATAAATAACTATTGTTTTGGAGTAAGCTGTTTTTAAGTTGACTTCAGTAATGTTATCAGATGCTTGTAACAGAAAAGTGTTAAATTTAATGAAACAACCTGAACTAGTCTGTTTGGTAAGAGAAGGGCTGCAGAGCAGGCTGTCTGCTAATGGTGGAACCCCACAATTCCACCCGAAACTGGCCGAAATTAGGTAAACTTTCCTCCACTTTCCCAAGTGGCCCACCCTGGCAAAGCCATCTATAGCTCATTGACTTCACAGCACGTAGTGAAAGCAATGAGTTATGTGTGAGGCTTCCTGAATAACTTATCAGGAAAAACTGAGCATCCTCTAGCATTGCAGTAGCACTGGCTTACTAATGGTATTATAAAAATCATGAGGTGTATTTTTGCATGTCATGTGTTTCTTAATGGGTCTTATTTAATTGGCTTTGTGTCTCAACTGGGCTTTTCTTTTCATACAGAATGACTCATAGGTCACAAAATAAGAGAGTATTTCTAATGATCTTGTGTAATAACCCTACCAGTCTTTGAAAATGTAGCTGTCTATGGGGCTCCTGTCAGGAAAAAAAACTCGCTTTGCCCATCTCATATATCACACTATGGAACTTCAAGATCCAGAGCTGCTTCTGACTGATGCAGAGTGAATAAACTGAATCAGGGCACACATCTAATCTCAGGCAAAGCACGAGAGACAAAACAGAGTAGACAGCTGTGGTTTCTGACTCTGTCAGGGTGATTTATTTCCCTGAGAGCTAATGAAGGAGAGATAATGAAGTTCAATTAGATAGCAAATCCAGATCCCTGGCCCTCCATTACATGGGTAAAGGAGTATTGGTGTGTTAGCAATAGTGTTACTCATACTACATTTTACCAAGCTGCATTGGTGTAGAACACTTTTATGAAAATACTCTCACAAAAGATCAAAAGTCACCATTCTTATACTATTCCCTTGTGAAAGTCATCTCAGCCCACCCAAAGGCAGGGTGTGTGATGACTGCAGTGCTGGAGCCAGCAGCCAAGGCTGCTGAAGCCCAGTGAAACGCCTAGTGTCTGCCTCCCTCCTTCTTCACTTAGTTATTAAAGCTACAATTATTTTTGTTACTTGAAAAAAGCCTACATTTATACAATGGCTCTTCTAATTGCTATGGCTGGCTGTGTCATTACTGGTAAAGAAACCAAGGGCTTTGGGAGAAGGAGCTGCTTTGAAGTGTTACCCTGAATGGAGACAGCAACTGTCCCAGCCCGTTGTCTCCGAGACTAATTTCACCAAAGACTGTTTTTTACAGAGAATTTCAAAAAAGTTCCAGCAAAAGCTTTCCCAACCCACTAATTCTTACCCTCCTTAAGGGCAAAAATGAAAGGGTAGGTTTGGATTTTTTCATTAAGCAGTTCTTGCTTAATTAAACCTCTCCACCCTGCATTTGGAAGGCTCTAACACACACTAATAACATGCAAACCTGCAAAATATGGTAAAAGAGAGTTAGGCAGTGGGTATGCGTGCAGCAATACTGGTGTTTCAAAACATAAAGTGAATGATGAATTGGTTGATGCAGTTTTACACTCTGCATTGTTCACTTGATATTATTTTGCCAATCATTTCCCATTTTACTGCAGCAAACTTTCACCCCTTCCTACCATTATAGTCCATTATAGTGTCCCAGCGTTGTAGTCCACCACAGCATTGCTTTGAAGTGCTTTAAATCAGTCACTCTGATTGTTCTAGAGTCTTTTACAAACTATAGAAAAACCTGAAAAACAAAGGGGTACACGAGTGACACAGAGGAAGCTTTGATGCATTGCACAGATCTCATTGTGCTGTTTACTACTTAAACTGTCTAATAGTTGCTTTTAAAGATTTATTTATTTTTAATTATAAAACCTTAATTTTTTTAGCAATTGGACAGAAGTGGCCTATCATAAGCTTACAAAAAAAAAGATAAATTAAAATTCAGTTCTAATTTTTTCCCTAAAATTGAACTCTCACAGTGAGAACCATTTAACTCGGGTATGGAGAAATGTGCTTCCTTTTTATTTCCTGTGAATAATCCTCAGATGGTTAAATGTGTCAGAAGAATTTAAACAGAAATATTTGACACATAATATTAAAGCAGGTATACAGGTCTTCTGGGGACTCCCTCTCTCACAGAAGTTCACATTCAAGGTCAGTGAATTTGTCCTGCTACAGAGAAATACCATAGCTTAAGGTCAAAGTCTTAAGGTCAAAGGGCTCCAGGTGATATCACAAACTCCTTTGGGCAAAGCCATGCAATAGGAGGCAGTAAGTCTCTCCTAACTTTAAAGTCTAAATAGACTAGACAAACCAAGAAGGAGAAGGAAAGATACTCCTCCAGAAAAATGCCCAAGGGAGACAAAAAATTCCACTGTCACCTAATTGAACAGTGGTAAAATCAGGAAAAAAAAGGTCTACAGGAAATCTTGGCTATTTCAGCTTTATAATAATAAAAAAGCAAACTTTTCATGTTTCTATAAAACAGTGCTAAACTGACCATAAGATAAAAGAGCTGGGACTAGTTTTCAGATGGACAGAAAATTCCCTGGTTGGCAAGGTTTGGTTTTGGTTCCCCACTCCCTATTACGGATTTGACATAGCCCAACCTGTAATGAGCTCGTGGAGTGCAGAGATCAAAAGCCTTGGCCCCTCTTCTCCTAAGGATTGTTGGGCACAGAAGAAACAGTTGTCAAAGAACGAGCAGTACCTTCCCATGCACAGGTACAGTACCATTGACAAATACACATTTTTGCTGAAGCGCTAAAATATCGTCACATTCCCTGTAGGTTGTGAGTCATAGTAACTCCATGGCGGGTTAGCAGATGGTGAGCCGAGTGAGACAGTGTGACATGTCTCGTATATTTTGAAATAAATGAGAAACATATTCTCTATAAGGAAAACAGAGTCACAATATTTTCTTTTGAAGACAAATCCTGGTCTTTCTATATGACAGCATGTTGACTGAAAGGAAGAAGCAGCAGCATTTTCAGGCATTATATAGTTCCTGCCATAGTTCCATGGGTGGCTACTCCACCATAGTCTCAGCTTGCCAAATCACATCTTCTCCAGCATTACTCCTTGCAATCCTATTCTTACGATGCCGACAGTGTTTACAGGCTATCACTGACTATACCATTGCTATGTTTGTGTAAACATGAGAAGGGAATACAGTTAACCCAAAGTCTAATAAAAATATACTTTACTTTAAAAATATGCTTTGCTGCTTTTTGAGAGAAGCTGTTAAAATTGAACGCATGTGCCAACTGTTTAGACCAACAAAGTATTTTAAAGGAAAATAAGCGTCTTGCCAACTGCTTTAAAAACAAAGACTGCCAATATATATAAATACCTAAGCATTCATCTTCCCTTACTTCGGTGCCTAAACGACTTGCTTAAAAAAGAAATAAATACCAAAATAAAGACATAATAGGGAAGTAGCAGCTTTCTAAAGGGGTCATCATAGTAAATTCATCCATGCAGATGTAGGATCTAATGCAGCAGGCATCTCTGAGGAGGGCTATAGGAAATCTTGGCTTTTTCAGCTTTATAATAATCTGGAATGCCTAAAGAAGCTTCTAAGTGTAATGTACAGACAATAAGATACATGGCATAGTCTAATTTGGTTATTATTATTGCTTTTTTGTTTTGATCTCCATAATGTCATTGCCAAATCATTTAGTGATTCTAATCTTCTTGTCAGACTACTTCAGTGACAGCTCAGAGTACCCTATGATTATAAAATTTCCAAAACATGAAAAAATAACTAATTCAAATAGCTCTGCACTTGTCTAAAATGTTTCAGGCCTGAACAGAGTGGCGAGATAAAAAAATCTCATAGGATTTTGAGAAAAAAAAATTTGTAGCAATTTCAGTGACATTACACTGCAAACAAATTCAGTCTGCTTGTTTAAATAGCTCAACATAGTAAGACCAAGTCTCTCTACAGTGTTTTAGTAGATACATAATCTACTGAAGAACAGCATGATAATCATTAACTAGAGGAAACAGAACCAGGAAAGTCTTCCAAGAAAGAAAAGTGTTTCTCTTAAAGAAATATAAAACGAGGTGGAAGAGGAGATAAGAGCTGTGAAAAATAAAAATTACAGATCCTTGGCAGAAAGGTTATTTTTTGAACTCTTTGGTAACAATCTGAACCCAAAGCAGGCTCCTTTAGTCTCATTATGGAATATTTGCCTAGAAGGTGCTATTACACATATCCGATTGGCAACTTTACTAGTGCAGGGAATAAATCAAAAGAGCAAAAGAAAAGTAAGTAGTATAGACAGTCCACTGCTTTTTGTAATGTCCCTGTGTAGAAAGGAATTCTTTTAGTTCAAAAATTATAACAAAATTGAAAGATCATGAAACAGTGATAATATCACTGTGCTATTTGCAAATCGAAAAACTCCAGAATTTTCTAATTAATTAGTGGATTATTTATTACTAATGCTGCTACTATTATTTTATACTTCCAGGTTCTCAAAACGGCTAAAAGGACTTTTCCTACAAATTTTATAAAATTATCACCAAACCATACCAAAGGTAGGCTTGCCCAGAGAATTTCATGCCAAAAGACTCACCCTACTTCCTCTTTGTTCTCTTTGCACATGAAGGTTGAGTATTTACTTTTTGCATCAAGCCTGATTGATTGCATTTTTTAACCATAAAGTTGCCTTAGTGACAGAAATGTCCTTCAGACCGATCTGCTGCCCATATTTTAATCACTGCATCCACTTCGTATGTTACATACCTCTGCTCTTTTTACTGTTTCATCTGCTTTTTCTTTAAGTCTACAGCTTCTTCTGTTGATCTCCTGGCTCAATCATCTCCACAATCCAAGCTTTCTTCTTAAGGCTCTGTTTACTCCATGGTGGATCAGAAACGGCTGCACGTATCAGACCTATGTAACCTGTACAGAAAAAAAAAAAAAAAAAAAAAATATATATATATAAAAAACCCAGGCTGCAGTTTTTGCCTTCACTTTTGCCTAAATGAATGGCATCATAAAACCTCAAGATACTTACTTTCTTGCTTTACAATTAAAATTTTACCCTGGCATATTTGCAACCTACTCCTAGACCAGTTTTTTTGAAAGATGGATTCTCCATCACCTTGGTATTCTGAGTCATTAAAATCATGATTAAGTCAATCTTTCTTTAAGTCCCTAGAACTGCCATAAGAAATCCACTGCTCTGTCAAGGATTTTGTCTCCACTCCCTCTGCAATGCTGAACAGACATTAGTGAAGCATAACTGTTACCTAAAAAGTCCCCATGTTGTATATAATTAGCGTATGCATGAGCAGACAATAGGCTAGTTAATATTTCTGCTTGCTACTTGTATTGTCATACATGATTAACCTTTCATAACTTTCAGAGCAGGAACACTATGTGATAATGCCAAAACAGAAAAGGGCTAGGAGGGAATAAAGATATTTGTGTAAAAGCTGATGCACTGGTTCCTGAGTCCAGTGCACTCAATGGTGCAGAAAAAATACACGTTGAAGTACAGGCCAGCAGACTGGAGGCAAACAGATAAGTAAGAAGTAAAAGAACTTGGCAGACCAGACTTCAAGTAACAAAAATTGAACATGAATCCTTAAGTAAAACCATAGAAGACTCACATATAAGAGAAAAAGCTGACAATGAAATAGGTGGTCTTAGCTGCTCCTTACTGTGTGGACCAGAAAAGTTACTAATGTGATATTAAGTAAAAGCTCAGTAGACTCCTTATCTTTCTAGTATAATATGACAATATTTCTGTATCATAGTTTGAATAAAACTGAAAGTGTGAAAAGGTCTCTGTGATGCCAATAAAGATAATATTCATCAGTTTATAGTCTGCTGAACTTAGATTCAGATACATTTAAACTGCTTACTCAGGCTCACAGAAAGTGAATGTCAGCATCGGGACTGAAGCCCAGCACTTAAGACTAAAGTAATATCCAGAGGCCTCAGACAAGAGGAGTGTCCCCTTGCATCAAGAATAGCATAAGAAATAACATTTCTTACTTGTTGGGACATGAGCTATGGAATCAGAAGGGAAAAATCTTTCTAAAGACACAGAAACAAAAGCAAATCACATCCCTCTTTCTCTGTCTTAATAAGAATTTCACAGATTTCATATATCACTCCCTCTGTACCTTATTTTGTTATGATGTACTTTGTTTGGATGCCTTGAGCTAAATCTCAGTTGTTGACTTTTCTACTGGCCTCTTCTTGGAAATCTTGTTTCTAAAGATTTTTCATTTGTATTTCAATATCTACCACAGCAGATCATCAGAGACATAAACAATAAACTTGTTAAGGAGATTGTTAGGTGTGTTTGTGACCACTTCAAGAAAATACATAAACATAATATCAGGTAAAATAATTTCTTTGACTGCTGTGTGTTTTAGGAAGATGCAGGCAGTCACCTCAGGCACAGTGAGAAGAGAATAAATCTTCACAAGTCTCACATTTTGCTGAAGAGTTACTTTTCTAAGGAGTTATTAGAATAACTCCTGGTACCAAAAGGAAGGTGCAGCTTCTGAATGCACATCTTTGTCCACTGGCTAGATGACACCGGTAAGGCCCAGCAGAGTCCTTGAGAGGTCATGCAAGGATAAGACTTGTGTCCTTAGCCAACATCCAGGAACTGTAAGCAAATATTGGAGAGCACAAACAGTATTTTCAGTAAAAAAAGAGACTAATTTTGGTGTCTTTGTTTTCAACTGTCTCCTGTCTCAGCAAATTCACAAACCTCAAGCCTTGCAACTCTGTTTGGCTTTGCAGGTATAAAAATTAGCAATACCTTTGCAGCTGACAGGATTCTGGCATAAGTCATTTGGCACCTAAATGCTAGCCCATTCTGTCAGGCATAAAATATTCATTATGATTAATTTTTTAAAATAATAATTAATTTTTATGCCCTGTGTTAGTCATCTGGGGAAAAAAATTATCTCCTTTAGTGTTTATGTGCATAACTCTAGACACGCTTTTTTTTTTTTTGGAAGACGACTAAATTTTTTAGAAAACTTTATCAGTAAGTTCACCAAAAAAAATTGGCATAACATCAGCTTATATGATATAGCTTGTACCTCTCCATTTCTACTAGAAATGTGATGTCAGCAATTCTTTTCATCTTTTGCAAAAGGCTTTAAAAACACTTACAAAAATATTAATTGGAAATTTAACTCAGTGGACTGAGAGGACAGATAATCCCTGTTTACAAGAGCTTTAAATTTGTACTCTGAAAACACTCCTGTTTAAGATGTGTTTTGTTTTATTCTGATGAGCAAATGTTTTAAATGCCCTTGTCCATCAACAAGATTAAAAATTAAGGTTGGTCTAATTTTTATTCTGTTTATGCTTAATGTCAAAGAAATGGTATCCAGTAATTGCATATAAAAAGCTCTTAGCTCCTATGTGCCTTTTCTAGAGCCACCTGCTCCTGCTAATATCTATTGATTTTCATTTTCAAAATGAATATATTCATCTGCTTCTGTATAAGTACAGATTTTCAACAAATATATGCAGAATTATAGCTCTGTTGCACTCATGAGTCTGCTTTAAATTAAACCCCAGGTAAACAGAGACAGGCTGGAAAAAAAAGTATTCCATTTCAATGGACAAAGACCTAATTAATGAAGTAAAGTGTCTTGCCAAAATACAAGTTAAGGTCAAATTTGCAAATTCGATTTCAAACACATATTGTAAAGAGATCATTAACAAAATAAATAGAAAAAATAAGCAGGAAAAAAATGAAGCAGAACTGCTATATAGTAAGGATGGTATACAGTTTAAAGAATTTTAAGCCAAAAAATGAAATGTAACATGTGCCTGCATTTTTAATAAATATGATAAAGTAGAATATAGGGACAAAACAGTTAAGGTCAAATTTGCAAATTCGATTTCAAACACATATTGTAAAGAGATCATTAACAAAATAAATAGAAAAAATAAGCAGGAAAAAAATGAAGCAGAACTGCTATATAGTAAGGATGGTATACAGTTTAAAGAATTTTAAGCCAAAAAATGAAATGTAACATGTGCCTGCATTTTTAATAAATATGATAAAGTAGAATATAGGGATAGATAAGTAGAATATGGTTGACTAATGAACTGCGAGTATTGAAACAAAAATTACCACATCCAAGGTTCATCCAAGGCTGAAATTTATGTGTTTACACAAGGAATCTCCATCCAGAATACTGAAAGAACTGGCACAGGGTCAAACCTGAGGTGCTTCGTGACTGGCAAAAAGCAAAGGGAAAACTTCCAGTTACAAAAAAGGGAAAAATAGCAGTTCTAATCACTGTCTGATACGTCATCACCATTGAGACCAGGATGAGTTTAAAATAATGAAAAAATAGTATAAAGAAAAATGAGATTAAAATACGACATGTGATTAATAGTGATCAGTTGTATCAAACTCATTGATTAGAGCCTTGAATGAACGTTGAAAATTTTTTGTTGCTGTGTTTTATTTTTTGAAGATGTGAAGAATTGCAATAGCGTTAATGTGCCTGAACTTCAATGAATACATGGGAAATAATTAATTTGGAGGAAACTAGTGGCTGTATCATAAGAAAGGAATTAGTTAGAAGAAGTTTTGCCAAAACGTGAAGTACTGGACTGAAAAAAACTGTAAAACAGAGTGTGCCTTTAGGAGTTGTAATGGGCTCCATCTCATTTAGTGTCCTCTTAGGGAAGATGCTTTAAAAAGCCCTTGCTGCTCAATTGTGCTGGTGATACAATACTGGGAGGACATACTACATACGAAGGAGGCCAGGAGTATCACAGAGAAAGAATTGAGTCGATTAAAATAGAAAAAAGCATAATTGCAGAAAGTAATTTTATAGACTACAGAATTTTACTGATAAAAAAATCAGCAGAAATGTAAGAAAGGTGCCCTGGGCAGGATGCCCCATTTGAGAAAGCAGGGATTTTAGTAGAGAGCCTGAGACCAGGGCTTGGCAAAGACAGAGCGTGTAACAGGAATGGGGGAACACAAGAACAGGTTTGAACTTTTCCACAGAACAAGTTCTCAAGTGGAATAAATTAAGAAATAATTTGAAGTAGACTTTTTGATAAAATTTTGGTAATATTATCAATGATATTAAATAGCATAACTGTCTGTTTTAGGAAGAGCCTGGAGTTAGTATTCCTGTCTTAACAGCTAAGCCCACAATATGTTTAATAAGGCCAAAATATCATGCAGAATATTGCAGCTATATTAATTAATTATTTTTCAATATATATTAATTACCTAATGAATGGAGGATTAAAATTTTCATCTTCAGTAATACAAAATCAAGGAACATTCACCTTTTTCAGGGAAGGCTCTGTAACCTCTACGCCATGCTGTTCACCATCACGGTGTTTCCAGTCTGTGTTCTGCAGGAGTCTCTCGGGGTTGCTGAGAAGGCCTGTGGAACCCAGGAGCATCCCAGACAGGCAGCTGAATCACTCACGTCCACCAGCTCTCACATCCCGCCATCGCCGCCTTCTACACCAGGCAGATATGCAGATCTGTGAAGGCTGCACCTTCATTATCATTTGAAGAGAGAAAAGAAAAAATGGGATCATTAAGCTATACAAACCTTAATAGGAGATGGATACCATCCATCTATCAATTAGTGTATCAATTTCAGATATTTGTAATTTAAATTGCGTGTGCCGGTTTGTGCATATGTGCATAATTTTAGCTTTTTTGTCCTTTCATTTGCATGCAATATGTGGGAGCAGCAACTTATTTTTAAAACTCACAAAACATAAGCTTCATTTCCTCCTGCTTATAAAAAGGTCTCCATTCATACACTTCTACGAAAATACAGTGTTCAGCTTCCTGCTAAATTATCAGCATGTTTCTGCTAACGTCTCAAAATGTTTTCCTTCACCCTTGTTGATTGTGAAAAAAACTCCAAACCAGATCTTGAGGCAAAACATACCAGAATAGGCTAGAGGCTCTAAGTGGCTAGCAATTAATTTTTGATGTTGTAAGCTGATATACATGAGCTATTTTCCTAGAGGCATGAAAGACGGGACATCAGACAACGGGAAAGGAAAGTCCGGGTCTGCCCAGCAGAATTCATTTCTTCCCCACCTTGTCTGCCACTATGAAATAAACAATTTTCTATGGCCCACAAGTCCATCATTCCTGAGAAGCAACTCCCTTGTAAACTGTAACTGCATTTCCTAACTAAAGACACAGCAAGAATCACCCCCTGCTCCCTTAGCACCAGGGCAAGAGCAAAATGTATGAATTGATGTCCTTCATACACAGTTCACGTGTGATGGACTCTACCATGGGCCCTGTATCACAGCTTCTCTCCTACTGGAGTTTACTGACCGTATAGCTGTCTTAAAGTCACATTTCTATGCAATATTTTTCTTATGTTCAAAGATATGATTATATTTATACTGAAACCAACCCTTTTTTTTTTTTTTTATCCCCAAAGTCTTGTCCTTGTCGCAGTAACCACCCCACAAAGGACCCACTCTGACCTAGTACAAGTGAAAACTCGTGGCCATGGGAGAGCGATGACAACTCCAGCTTATGCTGTTTCTACTGCCTGCCTCATATGTATGTTTCTCACAAGTGGAGAAACAGAAATGAAGGCAAGAAAACTTGAGTTCTGCTCTCCAGACAGAGGAGAAAAAAGGAAGGAAAAAAAACAAAAAGGGAGAAATAATGTTAAAATCAACAAAAATCTTTGATGCTAAACTTGGAATAATCTCTATTTTCTTCAGCCCCTGAAACTACACTTCTAGTAGTTGTTTATTCCTACTTCTGTGTTTACCAGATGCAGACAGTGAGTTACAGCAAAATAAACAGAGCCGTTTTTCCACTTCCAGCCCTTATTCCTTCATGCTTCTTCATATGGTTTTATTTTTAAACATTTTCCTATAAAGATGTAACTTACTTTAGGGCTTACTTCAAGGAAGTTCCTGACAAGTTCCCATATGCAATTGCTTAACCCAGAACAGCTGATCTTTGTAAATCAGCAACAGACCCAGCAGCAATATCTGACTGTACTAGGTTGATGGATTTTTGCCTATTTGTAGTGCAGTCGGTTCACTAATGAGGAGCTGGCAAGAGGCACAATGCCCCCTGGACCTCATTAAATAGGCTTATTTTGGCCTGTTGAAACGTTACCTCAGGACTTGAGCACAGAGGCTGGATGAGCTTTCTGCTGCAAAAACAGAGGTCCCGTCCCACCAGCGGAGGTGGCGTTTTGCTGAAGAGTTTTAAACCAGGTTTCCTCCCTGTCACTGTCTCTCTAGGTATGACATAAGGACACAGTGACACTTTAATGAAAGTGGGTTTAACTCGGAGGCTTGTTGATGTACGCCCTGAAGAGGCTCAATGCCCTCCCGTGGACCACTCTGCTGTCACTGCCCTCTGCCTAACCACATCTCCCCACACTGACAGTCTCCAAGCACGTGGTGAAGCTCCTGAGGCCGCTCCGCTCTTCTCTGCGGAGCTGAGCAGTTTTAAACTTACTTAACAAATTGCACAGACATCTTCCCAACTTAAGGGGAACGACGGGAGCAGCAGAGAGCCAGCAGAGCCGCCACAC